CTGATTGGCTAATAAATTCAATTTAATTTTACATTATTTATACAGTTTAGAATACTTTTTAAAAAAACGAAAACTAACCATAATAAAGTAAAAAAAAAACATATAGAAGGTTTCATCAGAGCCGTAGGACTCCAAAATCAAAAATAAGATCTAATTCTCATTCGTTTGAAAAAATTGGCTTAGTAATAAGTTGGTTTTATCGGGGTTTGAGAAGTTATTAATATACTAACTATTTAAATGGACAAGAATTAAATCTTATTTTTGACTATGAAATCATACAGCTCTAAAGAGACCATCTATACAGCTTTTTTTATTTCATTAAGATTAGTTTTTGGGAAGTTTAAAAAGTACTCTAAACTGTATAAATAATGTAAAATTAGATTGAATTTATTAACCAATCAGACAAACTTCTGCCTATGAACTTTAATATTTAAGTCAAAAATTTTTGCTATTTAACATAATTATATATAAAAATATATATAAATTCATATAAATAGATATGTAAATCTAAAAGCTGCATAAAAATTTTACATAATTCTGCATAAATCTATGCGTTGAAAAAAATATGATTTATGTATCACATTTCAACGTAAACAAACAACAATTATGAAACTCTCTACTAAAGTTGATAACTGCTTTAGATGAGCAAAGTTATGTCAAAAAAAATTATGGTTAAAGCAATAACTTTATCAGCCAGCAAGAAACGTCTTTTTTTAATCGTTCGTAGTATAAAATTGATTTTTAATGAAATGTTGGTTCAAAATTTAAATATTGGTAAGGGCTTTTAATGTAACTTTTGTTATAAATATATTTAAGTATGGTTTTATGCAAAAATAATTAAAATGAGTTATGTAATTCTATTCCTTCATCTAAAAATATTCGTATTGCTTTTTTCTAGTTAAAACTTATATAAAAGTGATAGACCACCTTGATCGCTAAGGTTGTCAAGATGGGCATTTTTGAGCTTAAGGATTTTTCTCCGAAAATTGTCGCTTAATATTAATCACGTCCGAAAACAAAAAAAAAAAAAATCAAATTCGACTTTTAGGTAATTTGCATTTATTTGTTGACTTTTAGAATATATTTTAAAATTTTGAAGCATTTAAAGTAAGCTCAAAATTTTGAGGACGTCCGAAAACTAGCTTTACTAATAACGTCTCTTTTTCATTAATAATTTTACTAATGGACTACACATATTTTGATTTACATGGCTGACAGCGCACCCCACTGACGCCCCGTTATCAATGTGTATTGCCTTTACCAACCACTATTTTTGCTAAAACAGTAAAACACTAAGACATTAAAATGCTAAACACTATACTAAAATACAAAACATTAAATCGTATTTCTTAATATAATTTGATTTGTTTAGTGATCGAGTGTCCTAATGTTTTGGTGTTTTAGCATTCTAATATTTTAGTGTTTTGTATGTTCTAGTGCTTTAGAATTCTAACATTCTAGTGTTCTAGATTCTAGCATTCTAATATATTATTTAATGCTATCAAAATAGAAGAATTTTCGCAATATCTTGACAAATGACCTATTCAAATTTGATATAAATTTTTTTATCTAAATACTTTAAACCCGCAAATAAAGTATCAAATTTGTAATGATGTTGATGTATCCTTGCCAAATTCAACAAAGGTTTTATTTTGACAGGCGTTTTAAATTTTTATTCTTTATAAAAGATGTATAAATGTTGGTTCGTAAAAATATTAAACCATTAATGTAATAAAATCATTATGAATTGAATTTATTAAGAAATCCTTTTTATAAAAATAATTTACAATGCTAAAACACCAAAGCACTAAAATTAATAAATCACTAGAACACTAAAGCACCAAAATCGCTAAATCACCAAATCACTAAATCACCGGAACACTAAAACACTAGATTACTAAATAAATAAATAAAGCACTAAATCTCTGAAACGCTAAAACACAATCACTGTATCACTTTGTACACTATAAAATTCCTTTTTGAGTGAACTATGGTACAATGTAAATTTCCTTTTGGGGTTCACAAATTAACACAACTCGGAATAACATTAATTACATATATCAGCGCGTCACTTTGTGAACTATGATACATTGTAAAATTTCCTTTTGAGGTCCACAAATTAACACAACATTAATTACATGTATCAACTACATGGACTAAAAGTTACTGAGCTAAAATATTTTAAGTTTCTTTATGGTTGTACATAAAGAATTCTAGAAATATTCAATTAATATTGTCTAACCCTTTTTTATAAATATGCAAAAAACACTATTTATTATTCAAAATAAATTGCAACGACTTCCTGAATAAACGTATATATTTTAATTAAGTTTTTTAAAACATTTTAATGATTTTTGATGATTTTTATAATATATTGACAACCTTCATTTTTTATTATTTTTTTCATTAAAGTAACAAAATGGATCGTAAAACACTACTTGTTATCGCAATAGCTATTTCGTTTCTTTCTTTTCTATTTCTCTTTCTAGTAAACCTGAGCGCTTCAGCTATAGCTTCAATCTCCATAATAACAATCTCAACAGATATTTCTAGTTCTTTCTCTAGTTTCTCTAAAGGTAATACTTACCATACTGAACGTAGGGAAGGATTATATGGCTCTTGTTATGCAAGTCAAATTCTCACTGAATGCGCTCCTTATGATGGAAATGATAGTCTGACCATTGGCTGGCGAGTTGTTGAAGCTTTTCATACCATTGGTAATATTTTGTTTATAATAATCGCATGAAAAATACAATTATCAATAAAAAAAAATTTTATTATTTCGTTTATTTTAGCCTTAATAGTTTCGTTCGCGTTGCTTATAATTAGTTTTATTGTTTGGCAAAAAAACAATAATACGAATCACGCATTATGGACTTCAACAGCTTGTGCAATTCTCGTTTTGGCTTCAATGATAGGAGAAATTGCCTATTTTGCAATTATCTCAAAAACCTTTTCTAGTACAAACACTCCGAGTGTTAAAACCTCTTTAAATTTTGGTGTTGGATTTGCTTTGATTGTTTTATCATTTATATGCACATTAGTATTAATTTTTATATACTGGAAATGTAATTCAATGTCTTATGAAGATAAGATGCAGTACAATGATAATTCACATTATCAGACTTCATATAATCAAAATGTTGGTACTATTGCAACACCTTATCAACATTCATATAATCAAAACGTTGGTACTGTTGCAACACCTTATCAACCACCGCAATTTTCACATAATCTCGCTGTTAATAATACTGCAACACCTTACCAACCACCTCAGTTTTCAACCCCTTATCAGCCGCCGCAGTTTTCAAACCCTTATCAATAACCGTCATCTCATGTTATATTTACCTAAAATTAGCAGAATTTGTTTTATATGACAATGCAATTTATGTATTTTATTATTATGTGAATCTAGTGAACGATTTATTATTATTATAGCGCTAGGTGTTGTTAAACAAGCGTAGTGTAGTGTGTTATGAAAATCATTTGGTGAGAGACGGATTAAATTTTATAATATAGATTATTATATTTATTTTATATATCCGTTGTTCTCCAGATATCAAATATATTCTAAATATTAATGTAATCAAATGGTTTAGACAATGTACTTAATGAATTTATCACCATAGTGATGTATCACTGCCTGATCGACCAATTAGAATGCAAGATTAGGTGTAACATGAAATCGTAACAAACAATATAAAATCATTTATAGCTCAAGACTTTGCCTATAAAACCATCCCTTACATTTAATTAAAAAATTCCTCATAAAATTTATTTAAATAACGAATTGTCAAGAAATAACGTCCAGAGCGTTATTTCGTGACGATACAGTAAAGGAATTTTTAAGTTTTAAATTTATCAGGTTTTTAATATTTTAATATAAAAATAAAGTAAAATTTAGAGAATTGCTATTCCATCCTTCATTTTTGCAAATGCCACCCTTCTAAATACAAAAAAGTGCTCTGGTAGAGATATAATTATTAAGTAACCTTTTTTTTTTGGTATTAATTAAAGTTGTTTATTAGGTCTATTGATGGTAAAATTATTAAGATCAGACTGGTCATTTTTAAAATATTTATACCTAAATTTTATAATATTTAATTCACTTTTAAAAAAGAACTACTGGTCTGATTTTAATAATTTTACAATTATTAAAACTAGAAAGGTCTAATAAACAATTTTAATTAATATCAAAACATAGGTTTATTTAATAATAATATCTTTTTCAGAACATTTTTATATATTTTGAAGGGTGGCATTAATAAAAATGGAAGATGAAAATAGCAACACTCTAAATTTATTATTGTTTAAATTTTTTTAAAAAAAATTACTTTTAATTTTTTTAAATTAAAGATTAGTTTTTATATATGGACTTAATTAGGTGTCACAATCCCATGATGTGTTTATACATCACATATTAATGATTGGCCAATTAAATTTCTATATCAAGTGTAATGTAGCATGATCAGTAAGATTCAAACAAATGTTGCTTTGACAAAAGTCACTTATAACTCAAATTTTTACATATAAAACTATCTTTTGTACTCTAACAAAAAAAATTTCTTGAAAATTTTTACTATAAATTCTTTCCTTTTATTGCATCTAATCCTACATAACCTTAACTCTAACTAAACAAAAAAAACTAGCTTATTTAGTTGTTAAATTATAATTTGTAAATACATGTGATGTATAAGCACATTACAGTATGCGATGTATACATTTATCCTTCATATATAAATAAATTAAAATTTTAGTATTTTAAAAAATTTTATTAATTTTGTATATATATATTGTTTTTTTTTAAATATTAAGGTGAGTATCTGTAACTCAGGATTTTATTGATAGTACATTCAGCTAATGGTTAGATTACAATCACATTAAACAATTGTAGAAAGAATGTATAACTAGTGTTAAAGAGAAATCTAATTAAAGTCATTGCATAATAATTATTGAAAACATGATCAAGAACTTGATCAGAATTGCAATCTGAATCATAACCCAAAATCAGCAATCATGTAACCTGATTTCTTCCTATAGTATGCAAGAGAAGTTTCAAGATCTAGAACAAGTTATTCACAATTGTAAGCCTAGGCCTACATATAACAATTGTCATTAAACTTAAAAAGAAAGAAAAACTTAGTAGAACCATCATGATATGCAACAAGAAAAAGGTGTAATACTTACTTTCACAAGCTTACAACAGAGCCTTCAACCTACAAAGATATTTAGAAAGGTGTGGCTATAGCTTTATCAACAGAAACTACAAAAAAGAAGGTAATTAAAAGATAGAATCATAAATCAAAAGGTGGGATTATATAATTAACAAAAAAGAAAATATTAATGCAAGAAAGAAAGAATGTTCTCAAGCATACTTCCCTAATAATTTATTATAAAAGCTCTTTATTTTGATGTAAGTAGGATATAACCTTCTGGTTTCTATACTCTTGTAATCAAAAGAAAATTATTAATAAATTAATAATAAATAAAAACAGTTATAACTCATTAAAAGTGTAAAGAGTATAATACCAATGAATGTTTTTTTAAAAAGTCCTCATACTTACTCAGTAACTTACTTGAAAGTTGCCTTAGTTATTGCCAAATCATATTTTCTTATTTTGCTTTCAAGTAATATTATGTGATGTTAATAATTTTGAAGTGACAATTTGTTACAGTTGCTCTATTCTAGAATTTACCCAATTATTCATAATACTAGTCACTTATATAACTTTAGTTATTATTTAATTTAAGTAGTCTGCCTAAAGGTTTTATACTAACTGCCATATCTGAAACCTGCTTGTAGATTCTCTATTTAAATATTCTATTTCATATATTCACTTATTTATCTATACTTACCAATATGTTCTGGTTAATACTGATATAAATATGTTATAATTATTAAGTCTTTAAATCAGTTTATTCATATAAGAAACTTTTAATCTTGACTAAACTTTCCAGAATTCTTTGTATTCTATTCTTATAGCTAACCTAATAATATTATGGTTAAAACTAATATTTGCAGTCATGGTGTATCATTAAACTACTGTGTTCTTGTAGAGTTTATCTTAATTTTGATACTTAGTTTACAATATATTTCTATTAGTTTGGTATTAATTTAAGTTCTACTAGATTTCTAGTTCAAATAGCTCAAAAAAGTATATACAATCATATCTCTAATTTATATGATCTTTTAATATATAATCTTTTTATTTAAAATAGATTCTAGTAATCTGGCTGGTTACAATAACTTTTTTTCAAAGACTAATTTGTCTTCATACAGCTTTACAAATTCTAGTTTTATTTTATAGATCTAATCTTTACAGTAACATTATTGAAAATTCAAATTATCTCTCTACTTGTTCCTTCAAATAGACTTTAATCTTTCTGGTTTCTGTAATTTATGTGGTTATGTAAACTTATTACAGATTATACTATCTAGTAACAGTTTTGTTTCTTTATACAAGATACAACCATTGCATAAATGCCATATAACCTTTTAGTTATGCTAATATGACATAGGCAAAAGGTATCTAATTCCAACTAATAATAAAAGATGATTAAACATAATACAGAAAAAATTTCAAATTTTTGTCAGCATGGGAATTGAATTTTAGACCTGCCAATTAGATGTTAACAATCTGACCACTTTACTAGATTATCACACTTCTATATATATATATATTATAATATATTTACAAAATTAAATTTAGTATAAAATTAAAACAAACTTATTAATACAATAATTTAGAATAAAGATTAAACTATTACATCTTTTCTTTAATATATTTACTACAATTTTTTTATCTCATATATATATTCAAACATACTTGATTATACTCTGCAATCCTCTTAAATTATAAATCTAAAATTTTAAATATTTAATTTTTTAAAAATTCAATGTTCTGTTCTCATATATATAGATGATACATTTTGGATAATCTTATTTCAACTTAAGTTCATCTATATATTGTCTATAGTTGAGTCTTTTTACACTATGTCAAATATTCAAATTAATTTTTTCAATTTATTTTAACTACTAATAATCTTTTTTTTTAATTATATTCTTATTTTCTGTAATAAACATACTCTTTTTTTATATTCTTTTAATCAAATTTTCAAATTTCTTAGTTATTAGTTCATTTTTAATAACAAACAATCTAAATAAAAAAGATTACTTTTTTTAGAATTATTATAACTCTTCTAATTTGCAAAAATCAAATATATTACTAATATAAAAGCTTATGATATTATTAATACTGTTATTGTTTTTATTTTAAAATTTATATTTATTTTTTTTTTTTGGTATTAAGGTGACCTCTTTGGTCTTTTGACTTTTATTAATTACTTATCAGTATTGTGGTTC